ATTCCTTTTTAAGTTTTTACTACAAACTTTGTAGTCTCAAAATTATTTTACTAAAACTATGATAAATTTAAAAGAAAAAGTGAAATTATTTTAATCGATTGAAAGAATTGTATATGAATATTTCATATATTTATACTTCAACACTATTTCAAATCAATTATATAAGGTTCGATGTCAGAGGTCAACTCAACTTTTAATTATGCAATATTTCACATTATAAAATTGCTTAGATAAAATTATTAAAACATTGAAAAGCAAAGAAGTTTAATAATTAAATTTTGTTTTACCTAAAATGCTTCATCTAAATCAGAACCTTTCAAATCTCTTCCCTCGGCATTTAAAATTTAAATGGATCAATGGAAATATTTAATTACGTCATAAATCAATCAAGTAATCAAGTAATAATAAAGTCAAAATGAAATGCTTCTCCCCCTCCACTTATATTGCTTTCAAAATCTTATCAGGTACATAAAAACTAGTTTTCCATTCATGGTTTTTAATTAAAAGTAGTCTGCTATGTGCTATGTAGTTCATTGATTGGAAATCGAGTAAGAAATGGCGCTTGGAAGTTAGTAGAAGGAGAATAGTCATGCACGAAGCAACAAGACAACCTTCTTTGAATTGAAACTCAAAGAAATCAACTTTCCCATCTTCCAAGGCTTACGATTGTTTTTATGGTTTCTTTCTTCTGCCTTTTTTTGTTTCCTTTACTCTACTTCAAAAAAATAAAAAAACATCTTTACATCACATGAACATTCTTTAAGAAACTTCTTTGCCTTTTCTGTTTTTCTAAAGTTTCTTCTTAACCAACACATTTAAACGAAAGAAAAATGTGAAACAGAAAGCAAAAGAAAGATACTTGAAACCGGTTTATACTCCACATCCAGGCGAGGAGAATTAAGAAAATTGTAAGGAAAGACGATAAACTCACTCATACACATGGTAAAGGGCAAAGAAAAGAACGAAACAAAATGTTCATGAAGAAATCATTCTTATGTTTCGAAAATGTGTTCTCGTTGAGCTATTTGCGGCATATTTGGAACTTGGGTTGATGGCGGGATTTCGAAAATCGTGTTGTTATTTCCTGCGCTTATGCTGCACGACACAACGAGATGTTGAAAGCACAGCATAAAGGGAAAAAAGAATTCCTTGGCGGATGAAGGAAAAAAATCGAAATAATTGCGCGCGCATTTCGTGTTGTCTGATGAATAAAATTTATGTTATTTTGGGCTTGGTGCTTGTCATTTTTTCCTCTTAGGAAAAATGATGAAAGACAAATGTCTAAAATATTGTTGTTATGTTTTTAAATAAAGCAGGTGTCACATCCCTTCATCGATGATCGATTTAAATTGAATTATTTTATAATAAAATAAAATTGTTTTGACTCAGCAAAACAATTTTGTTATAGTTTCACATGATATTTCATAATGAAGTTTAGAATCATGTCTGTTAAAGTCTGTACTCGCTATCGTGTCGAGTCTCATTTCCCGCGCTTGTATAAAAGAACTTCTTGGAAGGCGCGCACACACCGTCGACCTCGCCATCTCGAGCGATTTTATGGAACCACAGAAAATGTTCTCTAAATTCTTTTTTATTCTTACAAGCAAAAGAAATTTTTTTGGCAAACAGAGAAGAAAACAAAAATCCAATAAAAATCAAACGGTCGTCAAACTCCAGGCAAAGTCGACACGTGCGTCGTGAGTTCAAGACATCTTCTTTTTCTCGAGCTTCTTCAGATACGTTCCTTGTGGATAAATGAACCTCATCCGCGCAGCAGCACAAACATTGTAGTTCTGGAAAGGTGAAATAATTATCAGGACTGTGTGTGACGTCAATGACACATTATGCCAATAGATGAGATAATATTTTCTATTAAATAATAAAACTGATAAATTACATGCAATTTATCAACGATCCAAGAAAATATTTTTCAAAATTTCAGTCGTCGTTTTTCGTAATAAATTCTTATTTCAAAACCCTGTAAAATTTTATAAGTACATGCTGCGAGCATAAAGTTGCTGTTGAAAGTATTTTATGTTGCTTCTAATATAATTTCAAAAAATATCATGACGGTTGCACGATAACGAAATGAAACACAAGTGGAGGGAAAATGAACCCCTTTTATACTTCGTATACACAGAAATGGATCGATAATCCAACAACATTGAAAGTGAATATGATAGAAATGTTTTTCATACGATTTCAATCTCTAACGAAACTTGAAAATTTTAAAAGCATTCAGCTGACGGGTTCGAGATAGAAGATGAGAACAAATATGTTCGTTCGTTTATACTTTGAAATGAATGGAAATTGGAAGTATACAAAAACTGAAGAATACCGAGAGGAATGAAAGAGGGAAACATTAAATTATAGAAGCAAAGCGAAAAGGAAACAAGAAGAAAAATTTCCATTTGCCTGCGTTCCGTGCGAATCGTTTTTTTCCTTCTTTTTCCTTCCCATCGAAACGAAAAGGCCGAAACGAACAAAAACCCAAAAATAATTCGTTGAGTTTAAGTTTTTGGCGCGACTGTACTTCCATTCGATACCCGAGATGGCATGTGTATTCACTTTTATGCTTTGTGTGAAGCAAACACAACCGACCGTCGTTTACGAGAAAGAAAAGGGAGACGGGTGTTTCATTCCCCGATTATTTTCATTCTGCTTGTATGAATGTGTGCGTGCATGCGAGAATGAAACCAAATAAAAGAGTAGTGGAAAAGTACAGTCGCGCCAAAGATTTGAAATTTTAAGTCAGTTGTGAACTGAAATAAATTTGTTTGGTTTTTATGACGGCACGTAGTAGATTATAAAACATTTAAAACATGTACTAGATTCTTTTAAACATTAACACATTTTATATTGCTATCTTAGTCTTTCTCAAAAATAACTTCTTTCTATTCTTTATTCACTTTCCAGGATTCCCTAATGGATTTCTATATAAGCGACAGCATGCAAGATATTTATGACATTGACATTCGCTCAGAAGTAGCAACTGTTGTTGGTGGAGCGAATGAGTTTTCATCACTCGTAAATTTCGATTTACCACCGTTGGATCTTGATTCCAATTCAAATGATGTATGGATGGGAAGTTCACGATGGTCGTTTGGATCATCAAGCGACATTTATGCTGATGTTGGTGAATGCGTTAATCCAAATGCTGTGATGCCCAATTCCAATATTCCTAATGGTGTAACTGCAAATGTTTCGATGCTTCTTAAGTCACCAAAAAATCACATGAATCTCAATCGTCATCACATGTTTGATTCACTTTTAACATCGCCACGCGAGAAGAAATCACATTTAACATTCTCACCTGCTACAATTAAGCTTTCGCAAATGAAGCAAGAGCAGAGTTTAATTAATAACAGCAGTGTCAAGAGGCTTATGAGCATAAATACGATCGAGGCTAATCGTGAAAACGTCAAGAAGGATTTAAGTGGTGAACTGGGAACAATGAAAGTAAAAAACAACTTCAAGTTAGCACCCGGCATTGGAGGATTAACATTTGCCCAATCAAATGGTCAACATAAACTTGAGCTTCAGAAAAGTCACTTGAAAGTTCTCGACAACACAATCTACAATGTAAGCAAACAACAGCAGAAAATTCAACGTTCATCTAGTCCCAAGTTCACGTATATCAGCCAGAACGGTCACAAACCACACAATGTTAAGAACGTGATTCATCCGTCGAAAATTCATCACAATTACGTTTCAAATGCGAGCATTTTAAGCTCAAGCAATCATCATGAGAAGCCAGTGAAGAAGACAAAACAACATCACCCTCAAGGTATCAGCGAATTTCCAAAACCTGCCTACAGTTACAGTTGTCTCATTGCAATGGCATTAAAAAATTCACGAGCTGGCTCACTTCCTGTATCTGAAATTTATAGTTTCATGTGTGAACATTTCCCGTACTTTAAAACTGCACCAAATGGTTGGAAGAATTCAGTCAGACACAATCTTTCCCTTAACAAATGTTTTGAGAAGATTGAAAAGCCGGTGACAAATGGTGGACAACGAAAAGGTTGTCTTTGGGCAATGAATCCAGCAAAGATTTTAAAAATGGATGAAGAAGTACAAAAATGGTCGCGAAAAGATCCAATGGCAATAAAGAAGGCCATGGTGTTCCCTGAAAACTTGGAAGCATTAGAACGTGGTGAAATGAAGCATGGACACAGTGGCGAGAGTGACGATGATGAAGAGAACGACATGGGATCATCTGAAGATAATGATGAGATTCAAAGTGAAGGTGAACAGGAAGAAAGTTTTCTCAACACGCCTGAATCGTTGAACGATGGACATGCAACCAGCGACGAAGAAGTTGATTTCGATGTTGAGGTGAGAAATCATTGAGAAAGTTTTAGAAGGAAACATTTTTCATGATGAATTTTATTTGTTTCATAAAAATTCAGGTCTCGGAAGACTTTTACGACATCGACATTGAAGAGTCCGCCCGCGAAGCTTTGTCACTTGAAATATCTGGCGATAAAGATTTTTTAAACATCGATGATAACGATGCAAGTCTCTTCTCACCTCAACAACCTCAGCAAAAACGTGCACGTTTAGATTTCTCCATCTCATCATCAGCATCACCGACTTTGGTCATGAATCATTCACACAACAGACGAAAGACGCCGCATGTTAATCGATTCATTTAAATTTGTGATTAACAACAACAATAGCTGAAGGCGGAAGTTCAATTTATTATTAATAGCAGTCGGAAAAGCAAGCTGATGAGAAAATTCTTTTTTTTTCCAAAATTCTTTTATGAAACTTAAACATTTTTTTTTCTTTTGATATTTCCTTAAATTTGTATTCATTTTCATTCAATAATAATAAGCGATAAAAATGAGATTACGAGATTCAAGTGATGATAGTTGAAATCGAGTTTTTGTTAAGGGAAACAAGAATTTCGTAGAGCAATTTGTGGAAAAGTTTCTTCTTTGAAATTGTGCCTTTAAAGGAACAAACAAAAAATAATTTTTCATAACACGATGCTGGGATTAATATCAGGTGTGTGAGTTTTACGTAGCTTTTTTATGATGTGGTGTAGTTGGAAATCATCATCACTTGATCTCATCTCGAATCTCATAAGAAGAAAAATAATTCAATTAAATAGCAAAAATTAATTTGAGTTCAAAGAACAACTTAGTAGGAGAAAAGAGAAGAACGAATACGAATAACAAGTTAAAGTACGTTTGATAACATGTGATAAGATGAAAAATAAAAGAAGAAAAACGAAAAGTGATGATGAGAAGAAGACGAAGGGTGGCAAAAATGGTCTCGTAAAAGCTTAGAGATTTAAAATTTAATGAAACTTTGTATTTTTGTACATTCATAATTTTCTCAATCAACTTTGTTCCTCAACTGAAATGTGAAAAAGGTGGAAAATGTTGAGTGTTATAAGTTTTTGTGAGGAGAAAACTGGAAAAATGTGTTTTGCTGTCCGAGATATCATCGCTCTATTGTGAGCGTCTTTTCGGAATGATGGAATCTACTTTTTAACCAATTAAACTTTGTAAATTTGTTCTTAAGGAATTTCTAGTTTTGTACGAAATAAAATAATAAAATAATTATTAATTCATTGTATAAATAATTATAATTAAATAGTGAACGCACGTTGATTATAACGAAAACTAAAATGACGATGCGCAAAAAAAAAGTAAATGAAATTAAAAATAATGAAAAGAGCATCAAAAACTTGTAGAAATGAGTTTCGCAATTTTACGATCCTCTCAAAAAAAATGTAATCACACGAAAAGGAAAGAAAATATTTAAATATCCTCATAAAATTAAATCTTCCTTCGTGATGAAAGAAAGAGAAAAGAAATTTGAACTTATTGTAATTAACAAACAAAGAAAAAAAAAAGTTTTTCACAACACAAATTTGTGATTGAAAAGATCCTCACAAAAAAAATGCCAGTGCAGTATTTGCGTTTTCTGTGTGAAAAAAAAAGAAGTTTAGCTTATGAAAAGCTCAATTTTTCTTAAATTTTCTTTTCGATTTCTACTTAAATATTATTTTCCTATATTCTCTTGATCGTCTGTCAGACAAGTACAAAATAAAAACGCATAATAAATGGATCAAAACAATTTAATTAACTTAGATTATTATTTCCTTTTATTTTAATTCAACTAATCAAGATTAAGTTCAACAAAGTGGTACAAAACCTTTAAAATGATGAGAGAATAAAATAATTTTAGTTTATTAAATTATTTTTTGTATTTCTCTCGTCAGCAGGAAAATTTATTCTTTTGAAATCAAGGCTCAAATGAAATTACAAAATTTAATTTTCCTCTTCATATTTGACGTTCCTCTTCATATCGTTTCGCAAACTTATTGATTCTTCGCCTTACAAAAGTGAAAGTCAAAAAATATTCATCAAACAAAATCATAACATAGAAATTTAAACTTAATTGTTCTATAATCATAAGTATAAAGAAAACCTTTTTGTAAATCTGTAAACTCTTTTCATACCGCAAGAAAAAGCAAACAAAATAAATTTTCTAATGATTTCAAATTTAATTTTGTAAAAATGTGATAACGAACAAAAACAGAAAAAAAGAAATAAAATGAAGAAAAAAAAAGTTAATCAATGAAAACTTCTTCTTGTTCAATGATGTAGTTGCTGTCTGATGGATCTCGAATGTCATAAGAGTCATTAACGTGTTTCTTAATGTGTTTTGCTCGCCCAGATTTCGTTTGAAAAACAGTATTGCAAATCGTGCACGGCCATTCCTTACATCGATGAGAATAAAGCTGTAAAAGAAAAAGTTTTAAGAATTTTAAATTTCAGAAGAAGGAAATATCAACTTACATGATTTGTTAACTCTTTCTTCGATTTGTATCGATTTCCACACTCTTCACAAACATGAACAACTCCCGTGTAATGTTCAAATGAATGAGATGTAAGTTCACGTCTTCGAAAGAATGTTTGGGGACACTGCGGGCAATGATATGTCACTCCTCTGTCTGTTGGCATGTGAACAGCTTCGACATGACGAATTAAATTGCTTTCATAACGTTCCGTTTTACCACAAATACTGCATTCGAATGGTCGATTTTGTCCCTTCTCTGAATGCCGATTACTCATATGACTTTGTAATCCTTTTTCAAGTATGATAACGTCACAAACTGGACATTTGACATAAACTTTAATCGTCGTATGAACAGATTTTTTATGATTTTCCATGTCACATCGTCGCTTGAAGCTTTTCCCGCAATTTAGTTCTGTGCATGGAAAACTTTTAACCGACTGATGAATTCTTTTGATATGATTTTTAAGATCATAAATCGTGTTTGTAGCAAACGAACATTGATTGCATTTTTGATTCTTCAGATTCAAATGCGACAATTTGTGTTGTCCCAAAAGAAATTCTGTCAAATATCGCTTTGGACATTTATCACATTTAAATCGTTTCTCTTTAAATGGATTTGCTTCTCGATGAATTGCCGCGCAATGTTTCTTCATACTCATCATGTTACAAAAAGATTTCTCACATTTCTCGCACTTATATTTCTGTCCACGAACGTGACTATTAAGATGAGACAAAAGACGACTTTTCGTGTCGAGTGTCATCCCACATTTGTCACATTCATATGGAATATTTGGTTTCTTCGTGAGATTGATCGGTTTGAAAGGCGAGTAAGTGAAGAGAAGTGGAAGCTTTCGTTTTATTATTCGACCACTTGAACTTGTAATCGTTTCAGCTGAATTTTCACTTTTAATATGAACAGCTCCGATGTTTTTCTGCAATTCAACTTTGACAATTGGTTTCTTCGTTTCCATTCTAAATAATGAAAATGAAATCAAGAATTAACATTTGTGAAGTTAAGTTATTAAAATAATTTACTCACTTTTCAATCTGATGACCATCTACAAACCTATAAGATTCGATTTCAATATTCTTGCCTTGAATGCTGACAATCTTTCGTTTTCTTCCAGGTTTCTTTTTATTCTTTGGAGGATCTTTCGGCTTTTCAGGTTCCTCTTTGGTCATGTCACTGAATAAATCAACTTCAGGCACTTTTCGATTATGATTTACTGTAATTTCCTCTAATTGATTTCTTGCAATGATTGCAATTTCTTCTTTCGACAGTGTGTTAACTGCTTTTGCTGGTCCTTTGCATCGTCCAAGTTTCTTATGTTTAGCAAGACCAGTGACGAAGGTGAACATCATTTCACAAACATCACATTGAATCGACTTCTCTTTGTGACTCTGCATGTGCAATTCAAGCAAACTATTCTTTTTAAAATTCTTGCCACACTCTTCACAAGTGTGAATGATTCCCGAATAATGATTAAGAATCTTATGGCTCATCAACTCATCACGGAAATCGAACGCACATTCGCATTCATTGCACTTAAAGTGTGAGCCAATTTGACCATTTTTGTGGATGTCACGTTCATGAGCTTCACGAACATCATTTCGTGAGAACATTCGTGAACAGAAACGACATTGTAGCATTAATTCCTGATTATGCTTTGAAGCAATATGTCCGAGGAGGAGTTTTTTGTGTTCAAATACCTGGAAATTCATTTAAAAAGATATTAAAAACTTTCTTGTTACGTTATGATTGATTAAGATTACCTTTCCACATGATTCGCATTGATGATGTTCAAAGTGTTGTCGCAGATGATATCTCAATGACTGCATGCTCTTGTAACTCTTATGACATGCTTTACATTCAACTATGAAGTGTTTGCGATGATGACTCATATGCAGCCTTAAATTGTCTTTACTGCGGAATGTCTTCCCGCAATTGTCACAGAAAAAAGTCTTCGGAACATGTCGTGTTTCCATATGAATATTCAATTTCATCTGATTTGCAAGAATTTTGTTACAAATGGGACATTCATTTGCAACAATCTGCTCAAGATGAAAAACATTATGTTGATCAAGTTCTTCTTGTGTATCGAAACTAATGTTGTCTTTCTTGCATTTCCTGCTTGAGCAACTGAATTTCTTCTCGCGTTTATTTTGAAAGTATAGATCAGTGTTAAGTTTTAAGAAGATGGTTTTGTCTTTCGTTTCATTATCTGATTTACTTCCGATGATTTTCGGATTCAGAATATTTGATATATACTCAATTTTCCCATTTTCAGGATCTTCTACTTCAATATATTCATATTCTTCGCAGATCGCTTCTTCGGGAATATAATCAATAAATCCATTTTCTTCATTGAACTGATCTTGTTCCTCATATTTTAATATTTCCACTTGAATTAGAGACATTTTGTACTTTTTTCACGTCAAGGCTTTGTCGCGTATCTAGTACTGGTGTAGTACTAGAATCAAGGTTTAAAATTTAAAAAGCCGTTAAAATATTTATTTTCTAATGAGACAAGAGAAGTTTCTTTTTATTTTACATTTACACCACAACTTCAATAAAGAAAAGCCAATTACATAGTCAGTTATCAAATATCACTTATCTCAGATAATTTCCTTTAGTTTTCAAGCAATTGAAATAAAATTGATTTATTAAATTCAGTTAATCTCATATAATAAATTATTATGCGAATAATAAAAACTATCTTCACCGTTCTCTGATATTTAATCATAATAAAAGTGTGAGATTGGCTGAACTTTACTCTTAATAATTTGATTATTCACTCTTAACAGCAATCAGACACAAATAATCCAAATTAAGCCCATATCCGCCATCGGACTGATCAATGAATGTCTCCATGCTATCCAAAAAATCTTTATAAAACTCATCCTTCAACTCTTCAGGCATGTTCGGTGATATGTTATAAACACTTTTTACAGTACCTGCAATTAATGAGATTAACATCAAATAATTGGTCAATTAAAAAAATTAAATATTTACCATAAAAATTAGAACGATTTTCAAAATCATAGGAAAATTTCTCATAGTTCACAATTTTAACATCAAGTTTCACTTCACTTAACATTTCTTTCATAACTTTGCAAGGATCTTCAACATGTTTTAATGGGTAAATCGGAGTTTTCGCTTCATTTTTGAACGGAAGATATTTCTCCCTTTGCGAAACTTCGATGTAGCCCTCTGACATCGCTTTAACATTTATCAGAAAATTGATAACAAGAAATCCTCCTGGTTTTATGAGCTTTTCAATGCTTCCAAAAGTTTTTCTGTATGCAAAATAAAACAATGAAACGCTAATTACATCAGTTAATGAATGATCGTTAAAATTACTTCAAATCTTCGAACCAATGAAGGCAAAAAAACGATGTAACAATATCAGCAGATTCGTAGTTAATGCCAATTCTTTGGTTCAACATTTCATTTGAAAGAGATTCCATTTCGTTCATATCGAGTTGACGAAATTTCAACACTTCGTTGCTGTAAGTTTCTCTTGCAAATTTCAACATTTCTTCAGAAATATCTAAACCAAGAATTCGTTTGAATTTAATAGGAAATTCGTTGATAATAGAAGCAAGAGTTGCTCCATCTCCACATCCAATATCAATTAAAACGCTTTGATCTTGAAGTTTATTCGGAAATTTCTCGCAAAACATTTTAATGATTTTTTTAGCTGTTATCCTTGGTAAAAAGTTGGATTTGTTATACAATTCAGCATCTTCCATTTTATCAATATAAAATTAAGAAAACTTATCCACTAAACTTTTCACTTCGAGTTTTGATAGCACTCTGACAGTGAGGAATATTTCAAATTTACCTTTGCACATGTATTATTGTTGATTATTTTATTTGCTCAAAGTGCAACGAACTCTAATCTTGACAGAGAGATATGCACACGTGTGCAGGGTTTATGTTGTAAATTTATTAAATATATTTTAATTACAATTTGTTAATGGTTGAAATTCTTTGACGAAGATTAGTGATCGAAAATCGAGTTTTCTTTAATGTTCCATTACAAAATTTATATCAAAACTCTGACTTTTTAATAATTTATGGTTCAGTGTACTTAAAAATGATAAGAAAAGCATCACAATTCCGCTATCAAATTTCATTTTCTATAGCCTTTATTTTTTGATAAGTATAACAGTTGAGCTATGATAATATTAAATACAGTGGACTCTCATTANGACGTGTCTAAGATATGGCATTGAAGTTAAAATTCCACCAGACAAATCAAATGCTTTTGATCGTCTAGCAAGAATGTTTAAAAACTTTGCGAGTCTTTCATCATTACGTGGAATTCGCTTTCCAGTTGTGAAAATCCACAAAATATTGATAACACTTGGCGGAAGAAGATCTTTCAATGGCCAAATGGGTTTACCTTCAAATTCCTCAATAGAATGAGTGAGTTCCTTCAATTCGCTTTGAATCTGATCCTCCATTCTAGATTTTCCGTAGCCAACATTTCTCAAATGTCTCATAACGAAGCTTCTTTGTTCATTCCACAATTTCCCATCAGTACAAGTAATGCCCAATCTAAAATAAAAATTTTTAAAACTAAATTTGATTTAGAAAGTGTTAACAAACATTTCTACCTTGTTCCCATTGTTCGCAGTCTAATAAAGAAATTGTCTGGTCGACCATCAAACTCTTCTCTTGTAAGAATCTCTTTTACAATGTCACAAGTATAAGCTACAACAACCAATTCTCTCCCGAGCTTTACACCCAAAATCGAACTTCCATACTTTTCTACGAGACTTTCAAATGCTTTATGTTGGCCACCATATTTCTTTGAAAGTTTTCTTATAAGATGTGAATGCCCAATAATTGGAATATTAAATGGTGGTCCTGAATTATAAAAAAAGTTTATAAAGAAGAAAGTCCGTAAGATTTGAACTCACCTGGGGGAAAGTTATTTGGCATTTTCGTTTCATAGTAAAGAACTAGGCAAAAGATTAAAATGATTGCAGCTAATATCAACATCTCGTTCTTCTATTGGTTTTTCCAATACTTCCAGAAAAGTCTTTAATATGAAATTTTCAAAATTTTAACTAGATTGAAAACGCTTTTATATTCACAAATGTACGAGACCAACGTTAATTTGTGTCATCGTTTCCATTAGCGCGAATATCAACCTGAATATTACTTTGTTTCTTCTGAATATTCGCAGTCTTAGCACATATACACAGAAGTGAAAATCAAACGCATACATTTTAAATAATTTAAAATTTATTCAAGAAAACTTTTACATTTCAGAAATTATGTTTCATCAGTTTCTTGAATCATACAAATGAAAACCAGAAACTTATATTTGAAATTGTTTCAAATTTCAGAAAATCTAAGAGATTAATTTGAAAAAAACTTGTGGTCTGCAGCAAGTGAATAAATTCTTATCAACCTCAAAGAAAAAAGAACTTGAATTTGCAAAATATTTTTAATAAGATTATCAAACTTATATGAAAATTAAAAATATGTTGCTTACATCAAGAAAATGACACTAAAATATCGTTTGAAAACAGAAATATTTTATTAATGAAATTCAGCAGTAAAGAATTTTTAAATTATTTTTTACTCGAGAAACTAAAATTTGTATGTGAGTGCCATATGACAGCCACTTGCATAGCTAAAAACTCAGGGCAAATAATTATATGAAGAAAGCAATCACATGGCCGATTTGAAACTTACATGGAAATTTTGCTTTCTCGGGTATCCTGATGTGGAAAATTTAAAAATTGAATTTTCCTTATGTGGAAAATTTATAAAACTTCTTTAGCCGTAGAAGAGAAAAAAAACCACAAGTATGTAAGTATTTAATACGTTTTTTAAGGCAAGTTAAAAGTGTTTTAATTAATATTAAATGAGTAAACACGCGAACTTTTTTATACTGTTTACTCTTACTATTGTTAAATATAATAGCTATCCCGACAGCGAGGCTGTCATCATCAGAAATATTTTGTCAATACTCAGTATTTGCTGTCTGTAAAGGCGCTAGATCACCTCCAGGACGATGACGATGCGTGATGCGATATTTGTATGTTTGTATTTTATTCTCTTTCGCGTCTTAACTCGACCGCAGCCCGCTCTAGACTGAGTACAAGATATTCTCCCTCTCTCTCTCTCTAGAATCTAAACCGGTACACTGTCATCATCAGAAAAATCAATACTCAGTATTGACAAAATCTTTCTGATGATGACAGCCTCGCTGTCGAGATAGCTATTATATTTAACAAAAGTAAGTGTAAAAAGTATAAAAAAGTTCGCGTTTTTACTCATCTAATATTAATCACAAGTTAGCAGTTCAAGCTCATATGAGAAACTAAACGAGTTTTGATAACACTCTGACAGTGATGAATATTTCAAATTTATTTTCGTACATTTATTATTATTGATGACTTACTTGAATAGTTTGAATAGTTGTTTTTATTTGCTCAAAGTCCAACGAACTATAATCTTGACAGAGAGATTTGCACAAGTGTGCAGCGTTTACGTTGTGAAATCATTAAATATATTTTAATTACAATTTGTTAATGTAAAAAAATTCTTTGATGAAGATTGGTGATCGAAAAACGAGTTTTCTTTAATGTTCCATTGCAAAATTTAAATCAAAAAAACATCTAAACATTGCCAAAACTCTGACTATTAATAATTTACAAGGTCCCGATGTTTCAGTGTATGTACTTTGAAATGATAAGAAAAGCATCACAATTCCGCTATCAAATTACATTTGCTAAAAGCCTTTACTTTTTGATAAGTATTACAGAACTTTGATAAATTGATATCTCAAGGGGACAAGAATCGAGAAGAATATTATTTTCCATCTGAAAGAATTGCGAGAAAAAAAATTCCAGTCCTATGTTATTGCCTGGCAGAAAATTGCATGATATAATTTTTAAAATTTTAACCGTTAGAAACTTAAATGCGTGGAAAAATATTTTGTGACTTAAATTTTAATTAATAAAAGAGATAAGAAGTAAACTTATGTTGTATTTAGCATCATAATTTGTTATCTTAATCATTATATCATGATGAATTTAATTTTAATATCATAAAATTAAAAACTTACCATGATATTTTTAACGGTTAAAATTTCAAAATCGTCACGCAATTTTCTGGCATGGAATAATTTTCAAGCAATAATCTGGTCGCGGAATAATTTATTCGTGGAAAAAAATATTCCTCTCCAAGAATCTGGTGATTCGGACAATTATCAAAACACCAATTTTCACACAATGAATGATTAAACTTCAATGATTTTTGATTGATAACTGAAGATTATGCTCACAATAAATTGAACACTTGGAGCATTCATAAATAGTCAAACAAATAAATTTATTCCATTAATTCACAATTTTCTTTTTATTTCTTTAAGCTTTTTCTTGAGATTTATTTTCAAAAATCAATTTATACGGTTTAGGACTAAGAATCATTCCTGGAAGTAAATCCATTGAAGGATATTCATTTTCTACAGCTTTCAGATTAAATTTCTGTAAAATTCCAACGTAAAATGTAAATATGCAAGCTTTTGCAAGTTCATCACCAAGACACTTTCTTCTTCCAATTGCGAACGGAATCAATCTTTCTACATTATGAATTTTCATGTTCTCATCAAGGAATCTCTCGGGCCTAAACACTTCTGGATCTTTCCAAAATTCTGGATCCATATGAACAGACTTTAGACTTATTAGCACAGTGGTGTCTTTAGGTATTCTGTATCCGCGAAGTTCACAAGTTCTTAGAACTCGACGAGGCCCTGAAATGATATTCTTCAGATAGCTAAAATCAAAAAAATTCATTAGAAAGTAGTTTTACCTGATAATGGGGCTACGTGAAAGAATCTTTGAACTTCAAACAGCATTGCTTCAATAAACGGCATTTGGGATCTTTTCGCATAGCTTGGTGTTTCATTTCTTCCTAAAACTTCGTTGATTTCCTTAACACATTTCTGATATAAATCTGGTCGCATTAAAGTTATCATGAATGCTAAATCTATTGTTATGCTTGTTGTTTGTGAGCCTCCAATAAAAATATCAAGAATTATCATGACTAGTTGAAGGAGATTAAATGACGAGTCAGATTTATTTTCTTGAAGTTTCATCTCTTTAATGTAAGCGTAGATTAAATCATCGTTGGACTTTTCTTCGCTATATGTCGCCAGATGATCTTCGATTATTTCCATGAAAAATTTATAAAATTCTTCATTTAACTTCCTGATTAAGTTGTATCCAGTTCTTTCAGGAGCGACGTGTCTAAGATATGGCATTGAAGTTAAAATTCCACCAGACAAATCAAATGCTTTTGATCGTCTAGCAAGAATGTTTAAAAACTTTGCGAGTCTTTCATCATTACGTGGAATTCGCTTTCCAGTTGTGAAAATCCACAAAATATTGATAACACTTGGCGGAAGAAGATCTTTCAATGGCCAAATGGGTTTACCTTCAAATTCCTCAATAGAATGAGTGAGTTCCTTTAATTCGCTTTGAATTTGATCCTCCATTCTAGATTTTCCGTAGCCAACATTTCTTAACTGTCTCATCACAAAACTTCTTTGTTCATTCCACAATTTCCCATCAGTACAAGTAATGCCCAATCTAAAATAAAAATTTTTAAAACTAAATTTGATTTAGAAAGTGTTAACAAACATTTCTACCTTGTTCCCATTGTTCGCAGTCTAATAAAGAAATTGTCTGGTCGACCATCAAACTCTTGTCTTGTAAGAATCTCTTTTACAATGTCACAAGTATAAGCTACAACAACCAATTCTCTCCCGAGCTTTACACCCAAAATCGAACTTCCATACTTTTCTACGAGACTTTCAAATGCTTTATGTTGGCCACCATATTTCTTTGAAAGTTTTCTTATAAGATGTGAATGCCCAATAATTGGAATATTAAATGGCGGTCCTGAATTATAAAAAAAGTTTATAAAGCAG